TTTACTGGGAATTGTAATTAATTATGTTTGATTGGTATAATTTTTCATGAAAAATGTTGAAAGTTTGGTGACCATTTGGCTTCTTTTTTTATGGAATTTATCCATTAAAGTGATAATTTTTCTACCATTGAGTCTAAAATTTGTTCCAATTGTAAAAAAAAAAAATTACTATACCGAATATCATTCGTTTGACTTTGTTTTGCATGGAAGTTGTCAATAAAAGTGGAAAAAAAAAAAATATTACCATTGTATCTAGAATTTGTTCCCATTGCAAAAAAAAAAGGTGGGAAAACAAAATCAAGCTTTTGTGTATCAAATAATTGTACCTAAAAAAAGGTGGAAAACATTTTGTCAGGAAAATGTGTGCTATCAAACACCTTTAATTGGCTAAAGTTAAAAAATATTTTCCTTTTTCACCCATTTTCTAGGCTATCAAACGGACACTTATATCTTATTCAGTTTACCTGAAAAGAGGGAAAAAAAAATTATTTGAGCGGAAAAAACATAATTTGTTTTGCTTAATTTCACATGTTGTTCACTATACATTTTACTTCTTTGGTGTGTATACGAATAAATTACTTGTCTAATGAGAACCAAATTTTGAAAAGCCCATTTTATTAGTAGAATGAGTGCTTAAATTAAATGTCACATACATTAGACTTTTTAAAAGTGTTTAAAAGTTAGTAATTTACCGAAGTTTCCACATTCTTTCCCATTACAATAGATATATTATGCATATAAATTTAGTCGAAATTTGTTAGACAATATATTGATCTCATATTTCTTCCATGTGATACTATTGTTTCATTGATGTTCCCATTTGGAAGCTTCTTTCCTTTCTTTGCTGCATCAAAATTGCTAATTTCTTAAACTTTTAATTGCAAGATCATTATCCTACTCAAAAAAGACCAGATGCAAGGCCTGAGCAAAATTAAAGACCAGAAGAACCTTGCTGCTTGTTGAATAAGTGGTGGTGTTACTAAATATAGAATTGCCGAGAGAGATAAGCTCTCTACTTCAGCTCCGTTTTTAATGATTTGTGCAACTCGTTTTGATTTTTTCTCCGGAAGCCCTTGACCAAACATAAGCAATGCCCCAAAGCACCAAATTTACAGCAATGAATAAGCATCTGTCAAAAGAAATCATATCCAAGATCGTTCCAAAGCTGCCCTTCAAAATCGTGCTTTGCTGTATGTCAGTTAGCAAATCATGGAATTCTTTGATCAAATCTCCTATCTTCATCGCTGACCATCTCAATAGTTCCCTTTTTTTTTTACCGGTGATTTTCGAATTATAATTTCCCACGTATACGTATTACTTCTAAAATGTTTTTATTCTTATTGGGATTTGATATCCAACAAATCCGAGCGATGATGTTAAAATGAAATTGGATAATTTAATCAACACCTTAGGATTGCTTGATCCGAAAAATAACTTGGGATCACTAGAAGCAATTTAATTAAGTTAATATTGTTCGTGGTCCAACACTTTATGGATGGCCCAAATTGTGGTTATTAGTTGGTTGGTGATATGTATTGGCTTCTTTATTCTTGGTTAGTTTTGGTTTTTAAATGGTAGGCCATCTAGTGAACTTTAGCCTAATTGGAGTGACCTAACTAATGCTATATATATCCACCTCTTTCCAACCAATTTTCTGGTGTGGGTATGTGATTGTGCAAATGAGAGAAAAGTGTGTGCTTTGTGCTTGAGGCAAAAAATGGTGGCTGTCATTCATATTCACCATTTTGTGCCTATTCTTCCATTCCTTTTCTTGCCTCTGTGACTCGCAAATCACCGCCACTAAGTGTACCCTTCGTGGGTGAGTAAACTTGTGGCAACCAAGTGGGTAAAGCTGTGGGTCAAACCTCCTCAATTGGTGTTCATTCGGTAAGTTTATTTTAGCTTGGAATCAAGATTTCGAAGAGCTTTCGCAATAATTCCGTTTTCTATCTAAAAAAGGGAAACAATGCGTAAGCTACAATCTTTGATCCCAATATAACAGCTTTGAAAGATTGATTGGTCCTATCCAAAACATACTTAATATCTAATGCAACAATGAAATTTATACCACCGCAATTTAGAGACTCGGTTGGTAAACTATGACCATTTCTGGAACAACCAAAATACAAGAAATTCAGGAAGACCATAGTGCACTTCTGTCTTCTACATATATGTTTATTCCTTTTGATAAGTTGCTAGAATACATGGATTCAAACACAAACATTTGTAATTTCTAATACCTTACTTTATCTTCTAGTTTGAACTTGCAAGTAATGGTGTATATTCATTCTTACAAGTAATGAAATATTTCTATGCTAGAGTCGAAGGAAAATGGAAATAAATTTAAAGATGTATTAAATAAATTATTAAAAAACTTACAAGTTTTGCATATCCACAAATTTCAACCATCTGCACTAGAGTTTAGACTTTGGACATTTAAAATTTAATTATTGACTTAAAACCAATCAAACGAGAATATCTATCAAAATTTACGACATATATCCATCCATGTACTTCAACTAACGTCCAAATATTAGTGTCATTTATTCTATAAAACCATTTAATGTTCAAAATCTCAAAAGCATTCCATGTGTATGAATCACTGCATTGCTTTTAAGTGATTCATCAATAAAACGACATTTAACTAGATTTGATCTTACAGAGCAGAAATCCTCGTGTAAATTGAGTTCCTCACAATTATGTCTCATATAATAAAAGTATATAAATATTAACAATCGTCAACTTACTTTGTCGAAAAGAACTATATTACTACGATGTTTACAAGTGTAATTTAATAACAATGGATACAAAAATATTATTAACTTAAACAATATATAACTAAGTTTAATAAATAAATAGTTGTAACAAGAAGTTAAATACGTTGAATACCAAATGTTCATATCAAGAATCAAAAATATAAAAAGAAAAGAGACGAAAAGTAAGTCAATCCGAACTAACTTATAAATATCTTTCTTGTTTATAAATGAATTTCTCTCAAATTTATCTCTATTTACTTTTAATATTAACCAACTTAAGTAC